CTTCCTTCCTTCCTTCCTTCCTTCCTTCCTTCCTTCCTTCCTTCCTTTCCTTCCTCTTCCTCCCTCCCTATTCCCATCCTCCCTCCCTCTCTCTCTCCCTCCCTATTCCCACCTCTCCTCCCTTCCTTCCTTCCTTCCTCGGTTTGACTGACAAATATGTGGCGGCCCATTGGGGATGACAAAACAGAGATGATTCACTTCCTGGGATAGAGACAAAGGAAATGGCCTGGTGTCCTGCCACGCCTGGCTGTGGGCGGCTCTTGAAATGTCGCCTCCAGCAACCCCTGGAAACGCAGATCTGGTTCGTGCAACAACCAGTGTCTGCAAAAAAAATAAATAAAAATAAACAAAATTCCTCCTGGGTGGTTTAAACTTCACCCTTTGCAGAATGACGCAATCAAAGAGCAGGTTCCTTCTCAGCAGATGCTGGACTCCCTTTCCCATCAGCCCCAGCCCAACAATCCATGGCATAGTTTGCTGGTGATGATGATCAGGGATGTACCCGATGCTTCTTCTTTCATTCTTCCTTTGTCCACCTTTCCACGCAGTCAGTTCTACCTGGCCTGTAAAACTGGCATTATGGACCAAGCCCTGTCCATTTATTTCCTGCTGGGATGGCTTGGAGGCGATTCACTGAACTTAATTGGATCTTTCTTGGCTGATCAGCTGCCGCTACAGGTAAGAAACTGGGTTCTGCTTGCCCAAATCCTTGACCCTGAAAAGATGCCCAAAGCCACCCTTGTTATGGGTCCTTGAGATGCCCCTTCCTCTCCCATTATTTTGCCCTGTCTTGTAGCAGAGAGTTCCGGGGGTTAAAATAAAGTTTCTCTCAATTATCCCAGAATTCCCTCTAAGTTTCTCCTTCTCCTTCCCCAGGTATACACCGCCATTTACTACGTGCTTGCTGATTTGCTCATGCTGTCTCTTTACATCTATTACAAAGTCAAGAATCAGAAAAGAGCCTGTAAGTTGACCGTTCTGACCCAGGCTTCCTAATCCGTAATTACTCACAAACCTATTTTAAAAGCAAGATTTATTTTATTGCAACGCTGGGAATTGGTTTCATTCCGAGCCAGAATTAATCTCAAACAGTCCCTCGAGATAAGCACCCAACTTTCAGTTTGGTGAAGTGCTGCCAAAAACAGAAGTATCAAATGAACTAGGGGAAAAAAAACCATCGAACAAAAAATCCAACAACAACCGAAGTACAAAGAGCTTCAAGAATGACTCTGAACCGAATGAACGACTTTGCTTCCTGCAAAGGTTTTGTCATCTTGGCCTGACTTTTATACCTTATGGGAGGGGCAGTCACCTCCACGCCTTACTCCCTTTTGTCTTAGCTGCTCTTGCCTTCTGCCAGCTCTGTGCATATGCGCACTGGGAACAGGCTCCCCTGGTTCCTCTGCCTCGCTGGTGCCAGACTCTGGAGTCAGCAAGGAACTCCCAGATGGTCCTGGCCCCATCTCTGCATCGGATGCAGGACCCTTGTCCGAGTCCTCTCCAGACTGATCCCCGTTCTTCCCCACTGTCCGATTCCGCTACCAGCTACCAGGGAACCACAACATTGACATCCGCTAACGTGAGAGAGGGAGGCGCCCAGTGGGCAAAAAGGCGTTAAAACCTCCCATGTCTGAAATCGCCGGCACAGAATATCCCCAAGATTTTGGTTCAAAAATCAGGGCTTAATTCAAAGATCCGTTCGGATGCCAAGCTGGGGAGGAGAGGGAGGGAGTGGTGGTTTTATGCCTAGGCGTGCGGATAGATTTTTTCCTCCCCTTTTTGTAACGGGGAACTTTTAAAATAGAGCGATCTCCACCTCCTTCGAGCACAGGAGAAGAGCAGGCAGCAGTTTTTAACAGGAAGCAAATCTAAGCTTTCTGTGAGTTATTTTCAACTGCTTCCTCTCCGCGGAAAGCTGGCTTCCCCTAGACCTTATTCCTTTCTCTTTCAGATCTCTTAAAAGGTTTGGATCTGGTAGATTGCGAGATAGCGGTCTCCTGCTGCAGGGGATGATGGTCCTGTGGGGGTTTTTTTGCTCGTATTTCTGCCTCGAGGAGCAGCTGCCAGGAAAAGGATGGCGTGTTGAGGTCACCAAAGCCAGTTCCTCCTTTTTAGTAAATTTGTCTTGATGGGACAAGACCAAAAAGAAAAAGAAAGAAACAAAAAAAGCAAGACAGACTTTTAACCCTCCAATCCAACATTTCTCCTTTCCTCAGTTTCGGCTTCGATCAACGCCGTGTTGGCATTCATGGTCTTGGGGGCGACGCTGATGCCCACCTGGCAGGGGGGACCCGCCTCTTCTCACCTGGGTGATGGAAGGATGTTCAAAAGCAGGAGACTTTTATCCTCTGTGGACTATCCGTCAGGCTGGGAGGTACGTTTTTTTTCTTTGGGACAGTATAGCTAAAAGCTTCCCCTCGCACATCCGTCCTCGTCGTTCCCAACTCCAGGGGGCGGTGCTCATCTTCGCGTCTCCGTGGTCATGTGGCCGGCAGGAATAACGCCGAAGACGCGTGCAATGCTGTTACCTTTTCTCCCCTATTTTTTTTGGTCCCTATTTTTCCACTTGCATTTTTTTTTTACCTGCTTTCGAATTGGCAGAGCTGGGACGAGTAACGGGAGCTCACTCTATGACATGGTGCTAGGGATTCGAACCGCCGAACGGCCGGCCTTTTCTGGTCGACATGCTCAGCGTCTTAGCCACTGAGCCACCGCGTCCCCTCAAGGGCAGAACCGACCTTAAATGTCTTGCAAAGACCAAATTGCCCTTGCAATTTACAAATGGTTGCGTTGTGTTCAAATCCCATCGGAATGGCGAGGATATAAAGATTAGCGGTAGTTGGGAGATTGCACTAAAGCGAACGGAAGTGCTGGCCCCCTGCCCTCCCTCTCTCCCTGGAGACCCCCAAGAACAGACCCCTTTTTCTCTCCTGTATCCAGGGGCCACAGGAAATTGAACGTCCAGCAAAAGAGGCGTGGGGAAAAGACCTGGCTGGCATTGATAAATGCAAGCCATTTTGTGGCTCTCCCCGGTTGCTTTTCCCAAGAGAAACGTCTTCTCCAAATTAATCATTCTTTCTGAAGTTAAAAGCGCGCCCCTTGGGAGAATATGTGGAATAAAGGTTTAAAGTTTACATTAAGCTATAATTTAAAAGAATTTGATTTTTTGCAAGACAATGTCTCATTGGTGTTTAACTCCAGATAAATTGTCAAGAATGTATAAAGGAAGGTTGGAAATGTAAATTTAAAGAAGGGACTTTTTAACCATCTATGGTGGACGTGTGATAAAGCAAAGAAATATTGGAATAGGATTCATAGCTTAATACAGAAAATTCTTAAAGTGAATATAGAGAAAAAAAACACACCAGAGACTCTTTTTGGGGGATGGGGGTTAATGGACCAAGACTTGGAGAAAAATAAAAAATTCGGAGCTTTGCTGTTAAATATGCTGACGGCAGCAAGACCACGCACAGAAATGGAAGGTCCCCTCAGTCCCCACAGTGGATGAATGGCTGCAAAAAAACGATGGGAGTTAGCAGAGAGAGGGCTAAATTTGACGGCTCTGATTAAAGAAAAATAAAACACAAATACCTTTACTTCGACTTGGAAACCACTTCCGGACTTTGTGCTTGAGGTGGAAAAAAGAGGCCACTTGGTTTTACCGACGAGATAGATTGGTTGTTTGTAGAAATGGTTAGTTTCTATTATTATGAAAAAGTAAAAAGTTGAGGGTGGATCTTAATGCCTTACTCAACTGCAGCAAAGGAAGTCAAAGCCTTTTTCTTTTTTTCCCCCTTTCTTTCTCCCGCTATTCACTTCCCTTTTCCCTTCCCTAATTTCCCTATTATTTCCTTTTGTGTTATCTTTGTATGTTACACTTATAAACTAACAGAACTATATATCTAAAAAGAAAAAAGTGCACCCCTTTGGTGGGAAGGATGCTAGACAAAGATAAGAGTGTTTGGATGGGAGGTGGCAGGTGGATTCAAGGGTCATCCAAACTAACCCACGGACTAAATTACTGGGGGGTGAAGTTCCCCATTAAAATGACTCTTCCTTCCTGGATGACACGAGGCCTGCTGGGACGTTCTGTCCGCAGCATCCCATAATCACCCTTGGTGTCTTCCACAGCCGTTCACCCAGAAGGAGATCTGCGGCTTTGTGATCGGATCCACATCGTCGGTGCTTTACCTGTTTTCTCGGGCCCCGCAGATCTACACCAACGTAAGCGTTGCTGAAGAAGGCCCACTGCGGAAGGGAGGGCCTGTTTTGGGGAGCAGCTCAGCTCCCAGTCCATAGGCCTTAAAACGTGGCCCCTAGTTTAAGGGACAATCGTCCGCCTGAAGATTAACTTTCAGCCCTGAGCGTACCGTTGCCGGACCTCATCTTGTAGACTTACCTGAGGTCTGTCGGAAGAAAACCAAGGATTTTTGAGGCTATTCCCACGCCCTGATCTGATTTAAGACAACCCCATATGCTTGCTCCATTTTAAACAAGGGTGGGATCCTACCGGTTCGGTCCGGTTCTATAGAACCGGTAGCGCCGAAGAGCAGCCGACACGGAACCGGTTTGCTGGGACGAGGTTTTGGTCTGCTGTTTGGCCCTCCTGCCCGCCCGGGTTCTAGGCTGTCCTTTAGGGGCTGCGTTTTCTTCCTCGGCTGCTTTGCGCGGCGCAGCTGAGTGCGGCTTGTCAGCTGGAGAAGATAAATGATAGCCGGAGCCGGTAGTGCATATGCGCATGCAGCACAGGTTTGACGCGCATGCGTGTGCTCCCCAAATCAATTGTTACGCCAGTCAGATCCCACCCCTGGACGTATCCGAGGTCTACTGGAAGAAAACTGGGGTGGGGGTGTTTGAGGCTATTGCCACACCCTGGTCTGATTTAAGATAAGGAGATCACGCTTACCCACCCCATATCCTTGCTCCCTTTCAAAGCTTGTGTGAAGCTAGTTGTGAGCCCAGGGAATGGCGCCACCGAGTAAAACTGGCTTAATATTAATCACAATTAAAGAATGCTGTGCAAACAAAAGCCTACCTCTTCAATCTCTCTTTCTCTTTCTCTCTCTCTCTCTCTCTTTTGCAGTTCAAGCGGAAATGCACTACCGGAATCTCTTACTCTCTTTTCGCTCTGGTCATGCTCGGAAACACACTCTACGGGCTCAGTGTCCTAACGAAAAACCCGGATCCGGGCCAGTCGGAAGCCAATTATGTGACCCACCATTTGCCCTGGCTGGTTGGCAGCTTGGGGGTTCTGTCCCTCGACATCGTGGTATCCTTTTCGGGAAACGGGGATGTTGGTGTTGGGTGTTGGGTGGGTGTGTTTCTGCTTTTAACCATGCCAGGTCCAATGCGACAGAATCCCTCCGGCAGGCAAGGACAGACGACTTTTGATTCCAAGACTTTCTCAACGGCAGCCAACGGTTGCGTTAGGATTGAGGGGGGTGGGGGTGGCAAAAAATAGTCCTGAGCCAAGCATCATCATCTTTTTAACGACCCCCATAATCCCTTGCTGGATGGAGTGTTACTGGCCGGATGCCCTTCCCTGTCACCAGTGTGGAGTCTTTTTTCAGCAGATATATTCCCAGAGAGAGAAATATCTGCCTCTACCTAGGATCCAACTCACAGCCTCCTGACTGTGAGGCGAGAGCTCCACCTCTGGAGGCAAGCATATTAATTAAAATAACATTTCTGCCTCGCCATCTGGGCCACGTAAAGCAAGTTTATGCTTCCAGGTACTTCCTTTAAATCTGTCTTTTTATCTCACCATCCCATCATTAGCCCTTCTGAGACTGCTTACAAATTACCATCTTTTTGAAGATTGGCTAACAACCGTTGGCTTGGCTGCCCCAATCCTGACACGGAGAGATTTTGGCTCCGTCCTTTAAACAAAGCGGCAAATCACGGGGAACGGTCTTCTTGGGTGTTTTGTTAAGTCTTTCGTAGCCAATGGTGGGTGTTGGGTCCAGTCCTTAATTCTTCACCTTCAGATTTCGTTCCAATTCCTGGCCTATCGTCGGAGGAAGCTGCCGGTCACGGAAGAGAGAGACGCTCTTTTGGGCAGAGAAGAGAACGCGGTTGAAAGCTGAACGACGCCAGGATCGGCTGCCGGGGTTCTTGGCTGCGTTGGGATTCCCGCAGTGGGTTTGGGGCGTCGTCCTGAAAACGTCTTGAGATAAAAGCCCTGGCTTTTCTCTAGAACTAGAAAAAAATGCTTCACCTCCAGAAAGACGCGCCTTACGAGATCCTTTCCTACCTCTCCAATTCCTTTTGGGGGGGGGAGGGGGAGAAGGAAAAAAATAATGGAAAAAAGGAACATTGAAACATAAGACTGTATTCTGCAATGACAGTGAATCTGCTCAATACTCCGCAACCTCACCCGATTCCCCCACCCGCAAAAGGGAAAACTGTTAATTTATAAAATAGAAGCGTTGGGGAGGCGGAACCAAACCCAAAGGCATTCGGTACCCAGCAGCCTGGACTTCGTTGAGGCCCGGGAGTAAAAGGAAGCTGGAGGAAAGGGGGGGGGTCTTTTTTTTTTTTCACACAAGGGGCATTCCTTCGAAAAGGCAATTTTTGGGAAGGGGGGATGGACATGGAGAAATCAATAAAAAATATTCCCACCACCCCAGCAGGAGTGGATAATGGTTCTTTGCTTATCTCTGTATTCCTCCTTATGGCAAACTACCCTAAAATTACAAGCTCCAGGCTCTAAAAACAAGACAGACCTCACAATCTTCGGAACTTAAAACTATATTATCGACTTCGCTTTCGTTTGCCTCTGCTAACATCGTCAAGAGTTAGTTAGCATCAAGGTGAATCTCTCTCCAATGGTAGTTTTTACACTCTGTTCTGACCAAGGCTTCCTGAGACCATAATTAAGCACACGCTTAGTGCAAACTCTTGTTTTATTTCAACACTGGGAATTACGTTCATTCCCAGCCCATAATGAGTCCCAAACAGTCCCTCGAGATAAGCACCCACCTTTCTCTCCTTTGAACGGCTGCCAACAACTAAAGTGACAAATGAACTGTAAAAAACCAACGGAAGTACAAAGTCCACAGAGCTTCAAGGTTTAATCAGAACCGAGTGATCAAAGTTGCTTCCTGCAAAGGTGCCTGTCCCTTTGCTCCTCCTTTATGTCTTATGGGAGGGCCAATCAACTCCAAGCCTTACTCCCGAGTTGTCTCCTTTTTGTCTTAATTGTTCTTGCCTTCTGGCAGCTCTTGCGCACTGGGAACAGGCTCCCCTTGTTCCTCTGCCTCGCTGCTGCTCTTGAGGCTCCGGAGTCAGCACCCCACTCTCAGATGGTCCAGGACCCTCGTCCGAGTCCTCCCCAGACTGGTCCCCTTCCTTCCCCACTGTCCGATTCCACTGCTGCCTGCCCAGGCTGCCGGCAAACCACAACACACACTGACAGTGGTAGCAGAGGCTAACGAAAACGAAGTGGATAATATAGTTTTAAATTCCTGAGATTGTGGTATCTGTCTCTTCTTTTACATCTTATCTCACCTTTGAAGCAATGGTGGTGGGCTTCAGCTTTCCCATCTGCCCACCCACCCTTTTTTTTTGCAAAGGAAGAGTAGCTAGAGGGAAAGAATCCTTCCTGGTTTACAGGTAACTAGGAACCTCAACAGAGAAGCATGTCTTGAGGCTTGTGAGACGTTCAGAGGTGCGACTGCCTCTGGCTGGAGAGGTTCCATGCAGTTCCACTCCCTTCTAGTTAAAAAAAAAAATCTCTCATACACATGGGACTCTTTTGAGATGGGAAGCAGGTTCCTTTCCCCAAGGAGTCTACGCTGGCATGAATATTTCAGGCTGGCCAGGTATAGAAAATATAAAAGCAAAAGGTAACAACCGTGAAAAAGCCCAGAACTGCTAAGAAGCCGTAAGCTCCACCCCTGGGGGTGAGGAATGAGGTGGGGTGAGGCTCGTGAAGGACCAAGGAACTCATGACTCAAAGGGGGCACATTTGCCAACTGGTCTCTGTCTTCAGTCTGAACCATCAAATGATTCCCAACTGGCAGACGAGACGCTCAAGAAGACGCTTGGGAGCAAAGGAGAAAAACGCCGTTTCTGTTAAAAAGAGCATTTCTGTTCTGCCCTAGGTTTCCCCCAAAAGCACTAAGCAGACCCTTTGTCCTGGCAAAACCCCTTTTATTAAAGGAAGGTGAATTTCTTGCATTCGCATTCAGCCAAAGGCCTGGCCAACAGTCTTTCAAGGGTGTAATCAGCAGCACAGACCTCATCTAGCTTGGAGGAAATAGCCAAGGAAATAGTTTCAATCCCAGTGCTGACAAGGAAGGACTCGGCACAGAGTCTCTGAGGTGCACACACAGATCTTCACACCGCTGCAACGAATGAACAAACGGTTTCCTGCAAAAGCCCCCTCCCCCCTTCTGCTCCTCTTCCAATCCTGTTCTTTTCCTTTGGCAGCTCTGTGCATGCGCAGGTTGGGAACCGGCTCCCGCTGCTCCACTGCCTCCCTGTTGTCCTCCTCCAAAGGCAGCTGATAACTGCCAGTTTGCCATGGTCCCATCTCTGCTTCTGACGCAGAGCCCTTGTCCGAACCTTCCTCAGCCTCCAGGACTGGCCCCGGTTCCTCCCCAACCTCCTCACTGTCCGAATCTGCAGCCAGCTCCGCTAGACAACAATTTCAACCGAAGCACTGAGGCCACAGAGGCTGTGACCTGTCAACCGGGACCCTGCCAATCAAAGACCGTACTCTTGAGAGTTGGGGAAAGGACAAGAGAAGGAATCGGAGACGGGCCCAGCAACCCAACGCTTTCTTACGGTTGTTTTTTTTTTAAAGATTTTTATTGGTTTTTTTTCCCGTTTTTAAGTATGGAGGCTCAAGTATAAGAGATGTAGATTCCAATTTGAAGCATTACATATTTAAAAAAAATAATAATAACCAGTCTTTCGCATTCCATTAGAAATCAAGAACAAGTCAAAAGCAGCACACCGCAGCTTCTCGGGTGGAAAGCAGGACTGGAGGGGGGGGTGGGGGATGTTTTGAGTCTTACCAGCTTTTTGCAGATCTCTTTTTTGGGGGAGGGGTGGGGGCAGCTGCCCGCCTCCCCGCCACCACCCCACCCCGTACCCCCATCCTCCTTTCTCAACCTCTCTCCCAAACATACACCAAACACATTTTCCACGATGGTTGGGGTTTGTTTTTCTTCTTCTTCCTTCTTTCACAAACCATGGTTATTTAATAAAGGGCGTTTTTTTTTTTTTGTTTTTGTTTCTTGTACATTTTTTACACCAATATAACAAAATATGGAAAGAGCAGCGGGAGACCGGAGGGGGGGGGGGGGGGCCCAGAAAAAAAAAGAAAAAGAAAAAAAAAAAAAGGAGGGGGGGGAAAAGGGGGACAAAGGGAGGGCCCTTGAAAGGAAGAGGGGGGGGGGGGGGGGGGGGGGAGCAGGGGGGAGAAAAAGGCCAGGAAGAGCACAATATCTCGGAGGTTTCCCAACAGAAAAATACGTTTTGCAAGGCTGTGGCAATAAGACAGTGGAAATCAAGCGGCTAGAGAGCCCCCCCCCCACCTACCCACCCCCCCAAAACCGTTGATTTGGGATGGTGATGGGGGGGGGAAAATACAGAGGCCTTTATTTATTTTTATGGGGGGGGGGGAAGAATATTGTATGCAGGAAATGAAAATAATGGGGAGGAGGATGTCAGGGAGAGAGAGAGAGAGAGAGAGAGAGAGAGAAACAACAGAAGATTCCAAGAAATTGGGGTGGGGGGGCGGGGTAGGGTAGGGTGGGGGGCGCTAATGAGTGCATGGCGTGTCTTGTTAGCATCCTCAAGGGGAGACGCCGGCTTCTAACTCTGCTGTTTTCTCTTCAACGCCTCCACCAGGTCGTTCTTCAGAGCTTCCTGCTTCGATTTGTCTGCAAACGTCTGCACAGACCTGGGGGGGGG